CTCTCTTACATCTCATTACTTAACAGCGAAATCTTCCATTGTGTATGATTATTATTTTTTGGTATAAAGTGATTATTTATTACCACTGTATGCATATATTGATTTTTTGTTTAAAAATGGACTCTGTGTGTCAGTTTGCTAAAATTTTTTTTTTAGACAAAATTAATAATGTCTTTGGCCTGTAAGCAGCTAGTGAGAAGTCGACGAAATAAGCAATGATAGTACCATTTCGTTCTGCAAAAACTGTTGTTCTCACTTTATTCAGATTACAACCGACGCAGAGAAAAGTTATTTATTTATAATAGTTTTTGGAAGATCTGAGAAGCCTTGGTTCTGAAGATAGGTTGCAGGAAGTGTTGGGCAGTTGTCTGAAAATCTGTGTTCAAAGAAATCTATAAGACAATATGGAGGAGATTACAGTAATGAACAGAACGTTATTACAGTAGAGAAGAAGCCATGATTTGTCTAGCTAAGTTTCAAAGGAGATGGCGTATCATATAAAATAAACAACAGACTAAGAGTTATCCATGCAAAAGTTTATTCAGCACCTAAATTTTATGATGTTTACAGCAATTAATCGTGATCTTTATCAGTCAAAAGTGGATAGGTACCCATCAAAAGTTACCTCTAAGTGTGTCTACAAATTCACACGCATATTGAATTGAAAAGAAAGTGGGCATCCCTTTCCTTCTCTGAAAGTATTTCTAACAGCCAGATATTCAAATGTTTCATATTTCTTGCCAGTATCATTGAACGACATTGAACAGAATTGGGACAAAAAGTGAATATTCCAACTGCATCTATCAATATCAATATGCAAAGGAATACAAATTCACTTCGGCTTGGTGAATCTATCACTCCCGCCAGGTCATGCTCAATCTCTGTGTATGCAGGAAAAAACCATGGTTAGTTGCAGTTCACTCTGACGACAATTTTTTCTGCTCATAATTACCACTGTATTTTCCTGGTAAATTGATGTTTCTTTTTCAGTCGATTTACCAAAAATGCTGGAATCTTTATCCAAACTTATGTTATGTAACTATTTTCTTTTTGTAATATTTATGTCATCACATTTCACTGATTGTTTGTTGTCTCTCCTTAAATCACAGTCTTCATGCACAAATGCTACTTAGTAGAATAAATAAAATTTATGTTCATACTACATTAATCAATTAAAGCTTTATCCACAGATGAACAGAAGCCTCAAAAAAATATGTTCACACTTTACATAGCAAAGCTTGTTCTTCTTCATTCGAAGGGGACATGTTGAAATTAACAACATACAAATTAGTAAAGACATCTCTTTTTTGCATAACTTCATTTCACAATTGTACAGTTATTTTGGGGTATATATGTACACTGATAATGGTAACAGTTTGTGACCAATAGTGAGTAGTCTTGCGTAATCCAGAGAGTTGACAACTAAAAAGTCGAATGAAAGATCCGGCTGTTGGCAACTTCAATGTGTATTTTCCTGTTCACTTATTCTTGTAGAGTTAAGTATAGGGGAAGTAGAGACACGACATCGCCTAGGTGTACTTGTGAACATCTACCAGAATCATTGTCCAAAGGAGAACACAGAAAAGTTAGCAGCTTAATTCTGTAGAATATTATTACTTCTGATCAAGCAGCAGCATCGGAGACTTCATTAGAGTCACATATCGAGTAAGATCGAGCTGCTGAAGAGTATTTTGCTTATGTCTTCTTCATGCAACCGGACCTCTAATAATCCATACAGAAAAACTGGAACCTTGTGTTTAGAAACGTTTTATGCAAACTTTTTTACATTGTAGTGGTCTTAGTATCAATTTTATTGTCCTGAATTGTTGCATGCTAGACTCTATCTAGTTTTAGTTTTATTCTTTTATTTTTGTAATCCATTTTCAATCTTCGGTCCTCTTGTTTCTTGCAAACTATTTCCAAAGGGCTATTCATCATCTAACTAATCAGTTACCGACCTTCTCTGTTACGAAAGATTATTCACTTTTTTTCACACTTTGTTATTTCTCACACACTATGAATTAGTTTCTTACCAGCAAGCAATAACCTCTAATCTATGTGGCCAGCTAACATTGCAGACATAAACCGTGACACAAAGTTACTGAAAGTCGGTAAGGCATCGTAGCCAGACGAAATACCTCAAAACACAGTCCCGAAACAGATTCAGAGATCTCATCTGATATCTTCATGTCACTACTAGGGAGAATTTGAAAGAAAGGAAAGTTACTTACTGAGTAAAGGTTTGGGGCCTAGGGTGACATGGAGATCAGGTGAAGAGGAGGAGATGAGAGTGAATGAAAAGTCGTGTAGTCGACCAATGAGGAGTGTAGAGATTTACAGAAGATGAAATAGAGTTGTGGTGTTCAAGCCCTATCTTTCAGTTGGAATCCAACGCGATAATAATTATAAACTAACAAGTTCGTTGTCTGACTCACAAACAATTCATACCCTATCCAACTCACAGCTAAGAATAAAAATGAGAATGTTGTCATAGCTCTGTGGTTGGATTTGGTATGATGTATTTACACGGATGAGATAATCTTCATTCATGACTTTCATCTCTCTAGTAGAATACTGATTCGATTTCATTTCGACTGACCTTCGACTTTGGTTTATGGAGATAATCTATTGTAAGTCTGTCGACAAATGAGATGATTCCGACTTATTTTAATGAACAATACAGTCAATATTTGTGTGTTTGATTGTCAGAAACACTGGAGTGTCTTGTGTAGTAGTCTTTCATTCACTGAGACACCTGAGAAGAGAAATGTCTCCAGTTTGTAATTCACAAATGAATTACTCATGTTTCCAACTACTATCATCAATAATCACCAGCTACTGATTGTAGAGTTGTGCAATGAAATAACCCTCTAAATGACTGTACAGCTTTAGACTGAAATTACAGAAATAATTCTATCTACCAATTAAACGACCTTTTAAGAGAACATTGTATGAGTCTTGTCTGGATAATTAATTCGTAGTAGAAACCGAAAGACTCTATAGCGATATGAAAACAGTACACATAATTAGATAGTATTTATTGTATTACAGCTTACATATTTTGTATTTAAATATATTCTCACATCTTTCGGACTTATAGTGGCTAGTACTGGAATCGAGGACGCGTATTTTATCCCACTTGGGGCTCATCAGATGAATGTATCGTGCATCCTCAGTGAGTGACATTGTTCCCCCTCAGATTCAAACATAGCACTCATAGTTTCAAACTCTTAAGTGTTATCCACTTAACCATTAGACTGTGAGAGTCATCTCGTATACAATGGATGTCAGTTTTTTAAATTATTACGGTAAATATTCCGGTGATGAGTTATAATGCACAGAAATTTTCGGTGCATTTATAAATTTCAGCTTTTATTGAACGCAATTCAGAGATGAGTTAGTTTTAACATATTGTTTTATTGTTAGTTGTTAGCAGTATAAAACGTGATTTACTGCCTGAATGGATAAGGTTTTTGTATTTTAAATAGTGAGTTAGGGGCTCAAGGCATCATGGGAACTTTACCTCTGACCGAAGACTCATAAAACATCCATCTGATAGGTTCCAAATAAAATGGAGGGCGTCTCCTGTATTCCACTACTAGTCACACTCAACGAAATAACTAATATCAACTCTAAGTCACTGTCGGACTGTCCTCATTGACGTCTGACGAGTCAAATGACACCAACAATTTCAGTCCCATTACATGCATCAGGGAAAAATTCAGAGTAGTCATTTCAGTAAGTATTGCCATAGTCCGTTTACTTTTTTTATCTGCTTTATTACATAACATGACTTTTGTTTAGAGGGCCTTCTTTTTTGAAATAAAAGGTGATTTAACGAAGTCATTTTATTTTTATTTATTTTTTTTAATTTTTGATTACAGCCTGATTCCATTCTGTATTTTTGGTACAAGTATGGAATTTTCAGCATGGATATCGGTAGCCCAAATTTTGCAGGCCGACCATTCGTATCAGGTGTGCGTCGGCAGGGGATCGAACCTCGGACCATGTGCATGGTCGGTGAGAGTCCTAACCACTGTGCCACCGACGCATAATGATGGTGAATTTAATAATCTACACACTTTACGGATTTTTTCTTGCATAATGAATAGTATATTCCTACTGAATAAAATTGTGGTGGACAAACACACACACACACACCAACACACACGCACAGACTTATGCATGTACTGTCTCAATACGAGTCATAATTTCAATAACCGTTCACAACAGGAATAATAAAATCACCCTATTATTTTGAGTTTTTTTATTTTTGCATGCATGTATGTATGCATAAAAGCTTGTGTGTTTGTATATATGTGGGTGGGTGTTATGAAGTTGAGTCTTTCGAGTTCTACCAAATCGAATTTCAGCAAACAGAATGTTATGCCTTCTTTTGCCTAATTCTTAGCGTTTCATTTCTATTCTTCAATGCCTCATCTTTTCAACCATTTTATTATTGTTATTATCATTATTATTATTATTACTACAATAATGACCAATATAAATTCTACCCCTCCTTCACTTCCTGAATCATTTAATACTAGTTAAATTGTTACTAATACTCTCCTCTAGCTGCCCCTATTTTAATTAATATTACTACCACTAGTACAACCCCCTCCCTTTAAACTCAAACTTAGTCAGTAAGACTAAATGACATATTTTTCTGGGTTGAAAAATTATTATTATTATTATTATTATTAGACTAATTAACATTATTATTTCTGCACTTTGTAATCTGTATGGAGGACGTGGACAAATAGAAGGAATAAGTGATTGTCTTCTGAACAACATACGTGTATGCATACATTTGACTGCAGCATATATGTATATATAAATACATCTGTTTAACCAGTTTACTTCTTATTAAAATACACACTTGTCATTATTTTTCTCCTTAAGACAAAGACACTGTCACCTTAGTTAGGACTGAATAGAAGTTGCTTATTTTTGTATATCCAAATTAAAACAAAATAAGCAATTTTTTTTTTCCAACAAACATGATTACAAGTGAATTTAATTATAAGAAATTAATAACTGGACGATTATTTATTTGTCTGTTCAGTATATTGGTTATCAGTGGGATCAGTAATGCTGTAAGTTGAAAGTTTTACTGGATAAAAAAATATCATATATTACTGTTATTATTATATTAGTAGTATTAATTTAATTAAAGCCTATTTTTTTAGAAGTGGAATTTAATACTTTTATGCACTACTGATAGATACGGTTTACCATGGTCATCATATATGTTGATTTGATTAACTCTAGGAATTTTATCTTAGATACTTCGTGTAGGTACAGACATAACTCGCATTAAAGAGGTGTTTAGTAATTAACGAAGTAAAGGTCTCTAAAAAATCAGGTAAAACAAACTTTATCCAGTCTAAAATGACCGTTACGAGCGGATTACATAAATACAACGTGAAACAATGGCATGCTTTTTAGTGTTGCTGATACAGTTTCAACTCGAAAACATAAAGACTTAGAATTGATTACTAAATCAAGATGACTGATAGAACCACAATCTATCCAAGTGTACTTGAGATACACACTGATTCTAAGAAAAAAGGTTAGGATATTGCGAATCCCGTTTGCACTATCTACTATTCAGTATGAAGTGATTTTAGTGAATCCTCTTGTTCATCAGAAAATAAATACCTCAGTTATAGCGTTTTGTTGCCCGTGAGTATATTGCTTGCATAACTTGTTTCTAACGTTCACCAAAGATATTTTAGCTGGGATAAACGATTTATACACTGATACCTTAATGTTTACGCATTTCAAGTTTAACAAACGTTTCAGAAGCGAGATTGGTGCTTTTAGTGATGTCAGTGATATGTGTAAGAGTTAATTGACTGTATGAAGAAAACACCGTTATTAGGATAATTCAGCCTTGCAATGTCTAAGCCTTATTGAAATAATTACTCAGCAGTGAGATTACCTTTCATTACTTCATTATTAATTTCACAGTAGGTGAGTGCACTAGCTCATACAAATGATGAAATATGCCTTACATCACTGTCAACGTCATTCAGTATTTTAAGATATAAATTAGTTTGCACAATATAAATGTCTTACTTAGCAAAACGCTGTTGAAAGTAGTCACACGGGAGCTTCAGTGATAAGTGATATTGAAGGGATGACATTAAATTATTACCAATTGATTATAATTCTCAATCTCGCATATGTTTTCCGTCTTTTTACATCTGCTGCCTCGTATAAACACAAAGTAATAACAAATTTTCACTTAAATAGCACATTATCTGACAGCTTTTTAATAACATCCATAGTAAAATGAGCCAAAGTAATCTGCAGTTTAAATTGTTGAAGCGTCATCTGAATTTCCGTTACTGGTGATATTTCAGACAATTTGTTAGACCACTCTTTAACTTCATTACTGAAATAATGAACAAGTAGGCATACATGACATTGAGTACTTTCAATTTGTCAACGGGGAAAGATAAACTTTGATTTACTTCTTACTTCTTAGTACTGTCAAGATGTGTAGGCATTCTTGATGAAACTTGTCTGTATTTTTTTTCAACGAACAATCAGTAATGAATTCCATGGACTTGTGTTTTACACACAAATTATTCATCATAGGCAAACTGATGCATTTTTACGGCTTTAAATTTATGATGATATTTATTGATGAGAATGTTATGACTTAGTGTTCTAATTTTCTTGATCTATCGTTTCAAAGGAAATTTAAACTATGTAGGCCGGTATATTGGATTTTTCATGTGACAACGTAATACCTTATTTAACAAGAATGACATTTATTGCGAATTTGAGTAAATTGATAACAGCGTACTTCATTTTTATTCAATACTGATCACCACAGAGCTAACGGAGAAAAAAAAATGAACAGTTATTATAGATAAAGGGAATTCAATAAAAGGTTCTATTTTATTCACACCTTCAAGACTTACTTAGACACTCTGTTTGGTAATTTTGACTGAAAGGATGAATGACTGTAAATGGAATTTTCTACTTATACTTTAATTAGTTGAATACTTGTGATTAGATAGTTAACCTATCTGACTTACAATTTAGTTTCAGCAACTTTGAAGATATAACAGAAATTCTGATCAATTATCACACCACGTACTACATAATATTGGCTGATGTCAGCATTCTAAGAAGCCTAGATAGCAACCAGTACACATTTCTACAGAAGTCTATGATATCGTGATACCATATGACTGTTTAGCTCATTCATGGTGAGACTCTCAATAGTGCACTCGGTCTGATTCATTACGGACAGTTGAAATTACCCGAATTTCGGCTAGTTATAAATTCAGCCACATATTCGCCAAGCAAACATTTCGAAGTTAAATTTCATCATAGTTCCTTATGAAAATTCAAAACATATTCAGACCACACCATGTGATCTGCCTAGTATTATGAAAGATATGGAGCGACTAATATGAAACCACAGTATTATATTTCCTTCAGCATTGAAGCTGTGTGCCTTTGCGTTTTAAGTCTCTCCAAAAAGTTGTCAAGAAATACCAATTTCAATTATTTGTTTCGCAAGAATTTGAATAAATTTAATACCATACTTTTTTTATAATCTTTGATGTGCAAATACTGAAAACATGTACTTTGACCGTGGTCAAAAGAGAATTTGTCTGCATAAAAGTTATCAGCAAGCCTTTTATGTAGCTTAAAGCTACATAAGTGATACCTTTTAGACCCTAAAGCTACGATATTCTGTCGCAGTATCGTCAAAGACTAATAATGTTCACATTGAAAACATTAATTATAAATGAGGAATAGTTTTAAAAAGAGACTCATATTAGGATCATTTCCTTTGTAATCATTCTTCGTTAAACTTTTAATTGCTAAAATTGATCATTTAGTCATCATTTATTGACGTTTGACCTTGAACTTATATTCGTAATTAGCTAGTTGATGAGCTGTTTTAAGAAGTTATCCTTTCTGACTTGTTTATCGATTAGAAAGTGTTTCTTTTTTCATTCGATGTAAATGGTCTGGCAAGCAAACTGTTTAGCTATTCCTCTTCAAGGAAATCAAGCACACAGTGATATTTCTGTTTCAAAGTGAGGAAGATTTATTGGTGTACTTGGTGTGGTTCTGTTTTCTAGGCTGGGTGACTTAAATGCAAAGTTTTGATTATACTTCTAAACAACATGTTTAGCACTAAGTATAGCTTGAAGTTATCATTGAAGGTGTCTTCCAAATCCTAACTATAAATTACAAAACAATTGAAGTCGTGAAAAGAGATATAATGAAGAATTTTATTGGTAGTTTGATAATTTGGGATGTGGACTTACTCAGGTTGTTGCAAAGCACATTAAGTCAAGTGATTCATAATGGTCCACACTGAAGGTCCGTTTCTTACATTCTCTGAAGATTTCTTCAAAGAATCAAATTCATTTGGATCTTATTTCAGTTAACATTTTAAGTGTATTAAGCAATGAAACGGTGTTATCAATTGATTGACAGTTTTCAAACAAATAACTACTCATAATCATTTCACATTTACTATGATGATAAAAATGCAGCTACTTTTGTATCAGATTTTTTACGAAGTCATCCTACGATAAAGAAAAGACAACTGCTTTTCAAATCGTTTGTTTTTACTCAAACTACTAAGAGGAGTAGTTATATAGAACGAATACTCTAATTGAAACAAGGGCTTATTTTAAACCATTCTACATCTGTATTAATTCTTTATGTTTTAGGAAACCTTCTGGTTATAAAACTGAGTGATGGGTTGCTCAGGCTATTGAATCAAAAACAAAAACATATTGCCACTACTTTTCTTGAACCCACTTTGGAAAGGGGAATAGCATAACTTAATCTAAAACCACTAATTTATTAACAGAAATTAGTTAACTAGGCATTACTTAATCTAATCGATAAATAGAAGTATGTAACAGTTTAAAAAGCTGATTTTTTTCTTTCTTCTAGGAAATGTGTGACAGTTCATGTAGATCGACTCGCAAAGATTAATGAAATTTATCTTAAGTACTTGTTTGCTTCTTCTCCTTTCAATCTGATAAGGAAAAACAACGCTTTGACCATATTCTTGAATGACTCATAGTTTTCTATTATTTAGTGTTTTGACAAATGATTCCTTGAATTCTATTTCTTTGAAAAATTTAATCTAACGCCATACTGTTTAAACAATAATTCGTATGATTTTGGCCATATTCATGTATCCCCTTACTTTCCCAATGGAACATAGTGCTTCAAGCTAGAGACTTGGAGTTTCAGTAGCGATGGTATTTATTTTTACAGGATGGGGTTGCTAGCTTCATGCCCAACCTTCTTTCTTCACCAGTCCTACTATAAGCTTAGCAGGGTAAAGGAGTGCGTCGGTCGGGGGTTGAACCCCAAACCACATGAGGCGTGGTTGGCAAGTCATTCTACCACTATACCACCAACTAAGTGATTAGATTATTGTTGTTTGTATATTAGTGTGAGTGAATTTGTGGTGTACTGGTTTTAATGATTTTGGCATAATATATCAGTTTCAGATTTACACTTGTTCGTTTAGACTAATCAAGATTTAGGTTAAGAAATACAAGTTATTCACTTTTGGTTAAAGTTTTCAAGCGTTTTCAATATCTTACAAAGTCTATTCCTCTTGTTTTTGTTTTCTAAATCAGAATCCTAGACATCAATCTACGTTTGCCCAACAAACGATGCCTCATCATGCAGGTCAAGGACACTATGTTTTATCTGAACTAGAAGAAAATTATCCAAGAATCCATGAAACGGAGACAAGTGGTAACGAAAGAAACCCAGAATTTGGTCCAGCAGGATTCAAGCGTAATTTCGATCCTATAATGTTCAAACGTTCCTATTTTGATCCTATAATGTTCAAACGTACCTATTTTGATCCTATAATGTTCAAACGTTCCTATTTTGATCCTATAATGTTCAAACGTACCTATTTTGATCCTATAATGTTTAAACGCACCTACTTTGATCCTATAATGTATAAACGTAGCTCTGAATATCATTCTGATTAAAGTGAAATGTTTGATCCTATTTTGTTTTAGATCAGCAAAACTTTCTATTTCTTCGTCAAATATACAATGTAATCAGTGAATAATATTTTGAAGACAAAAAGAAAGAAATATATACTTTAAGGTCATATTTATGAAGTCTGATCTATTTTGTCTTTTTTTAAAAAACTTATTGTAATGTTATGATAATATTTCTAAAAGTCAATTTTGACATTTTTAAACACTAAAATTAAATTGGTATCATACTTTTTCTGTCATGACATGAAATGCTACCTTAGAGAAAATCATCTAGTGTTTCATTAGCCTAGGCTATTTGTTGCAAGAGTTCAGAGAAGAAAATATATCGATTTAGTGATGAAGTAAAATATTTAGTAAGTTAGTATATTCAAGTGTTGGTTTGCCAGGCATTTGATTGGTTTCAGGATTTCAGCATGAATTAACGTTGATCGGTTAGTGGGCCATTGGAAAACCTGCAGGGCAACTGAACAGCTGTTCCGTGCTCGTCTAGGTCACTTCATCAGTACACATCCTCCACTAGGGTTCAAAATCAGGACCTTCTGATTACAAGGCGAGCTAGCTTGTAGACCATTAAGCCACTGGGACCCCATCTAATGGCCAGTGCATGGATTCCAAATTGTACTAATTCATAATATGGCGGGAAAACTAGCGAATTTCATCAGCGGCGAGTATTTGTCCTCACATCCGACCTGTTGTATCACATTGGTGACGAATATTTAATCCGTCTTATGCAAAACACTTCACATCTGAGTGTAAGAGACCCATTATTAATAATAATTATTTAAAAAATAACGTTGATCTAGCTTTCATGTGAAATAAGTGATGAATGCAAAAGAATTGCAGTTACTTATGATTTGAGAATAATTTTCAGGTTTTACATTTGACCAATTAATTCAAGTTTCGGTGATGCTTCTGAAGCCATTGGAATAAATGAGACTTATAATACTGACTAATTTATCGCATTGCCCAATTTAGCTTTGAAAATGTCTTCGCGGTGCACTTGACCAGAGGAGTTATATTATGCCTATAAAGAGAATTTGAGGTTTTGATTACCAGTGTTCATCTACGTGAAGTTAGTAAGGATAATTTAGGCACGAAATGATGCATCTTATTATTTGCTCCAGTGAGATCTGATTTCACTCAGAGTTATTTTCAAATTCTGAGTAGAAATGTCTGTTGAATTCAGTTTGTAGTTCTGTGAAGTGTTGACAGATGTACATTTTAAAATAACAACCAGCTCCAATGATGAGTATAAGACGATGTAACAATGAGCAAAGAAAATGTGTATATGACTTCTGATTTTTAAAAGTTGTTATATTTAAATCGGACATGTGACACTTGACAAACCAGCTAACATTTAGAAACCGTTTCGTCCTATTACAGCGTACATCAGTAGTTTGTCTGTGAAACAGTCTATTCCAAAATGCTACATGGTGCAAACAAAATACATCAGCGTACAAATATATATATTATCTAGATGACATTTGGTGTGAATAACCTGCCTGATTTACGCATGTTTTACCACTTTAAGCCATAAGCCGTTTTTCTTAAGCTTCATCTATATAAAACATACAAAGTAGTTCCTTATATTCTGCTTATAATGACAATTTTGTGGTTCTGAGACAGATAAATAATCGTCTGTCTAAAAGGTGTAATAATGGAAGTTAGATGAAAAATTATCTAATCGTTTTAGCTTCTCAGAAATAAGGAAAATTAGAAAAGTAACAATTTTCTGCTTTAATTCATAAAATCTGTCTATTTAAGAAATTAGTAATGAAAGTAAATTTACGACAAGCTACGTCTTTCGGTGCTTATGAAGCGCTGCTAAGATCCTCACTTTCGGAAATTACCTTGGATAAGGAATTTCTACCGGCAAAAACTTCTCTATCTGAATCTGCTATTCAAAAAGAGACGCATCCACAGAAATACTGAGAGAACATCTCTCCTGGTCATTGAAGAAAACCTTCTTCGCATTCGAACTTCGACTTAATTTCTCTACAAAACCACTGCTTCGAATGAACATGAAGGATATGCTACCACTGCTGGCTTCATCAATATGTATCTATCAATTCTACTGCTCCTGTGGGGCTAGATATATTGACCCTACTCAGCGTTTGACTTCCAAACGTATCACCAAACACTTATCTTCATGATTTCGTAAAGAAGAGAAAAGGTTCCACCGAAGCTCTATTCTAAGCCCCCTTAACGACTCCAGATATCAAGCGAACACGTAAGCTAGTTACAAAGGAGAATTGTTTAATCGCTGAACCTACAATGGACCTAATTTGTCTTAACGCTGGATACTTAATTTCTGTTAATCCTAATTCTCTTAGTTTTTAATAATATTTTTACGAGTTGATCACGGATTAATATCAGTTAGAGAACCATTGAAAACCAGAGAGTACTGGACAACTGCTGTTTCATACTAGTTTGGAAGTCGTGACCAGTGAGGTCCATCCAAATGTCACTTACGAAGATGGACGTCCAGCCTGTGACAATGGTTGGGGTCGCGCTAAATCACGAATTGGTAGAAGTTAGAATTCATGAGCCATTGAATCGGGTCTCAGTGGCTGAATGGTATACGAGCTTGCCTTTTAACCGGAAGGTCCTGGGTTCGAACCCTGGTGGTGGGTGCCTACTGCCGATGATTCTCAAACTAGGATGACACAGTTGTCCAGTACTCCCTGGTTCTCAATGGTTCTCTAACTTATACCAATCTGTGATCAACTCGTAAAAACATAACTAACCCTTACAAACCAAACTGTAGAAAATTTTAATTATATTATTTTTCTCTCCTCCTCACTGTTACATTTCTACTCCACGTGACACTGGTCTTAATTTGACCCTCTTTCAGTTTTAATTGAGTTCTGCTCAGTCCTGTCAATTACAATATGTCAGGCAATTTACTCATTTAATTTTATCTTAGTTTCTACCCGGTCAAAGCTTCCTGTAAAAATTGAAAGAAGGGAGAAGGGATAATATCAAGGAATAACGGAGGGGGAAAGAAAATAGACTTCAAAAACCAACATATACCAGTTAAAAAAGATATAACTACTTACATTAAACAGCCTAGAATGTAACGCTCTACGACACGTAGATCGGGTTTCATGAAAAATAAAATTATACAAGCATAAAAATACACATATCTGAGAAATCTTAGAAAACGTTCAGAGTGTATAAATGATTCCGGTATTAATCCCTTTTATGGTTTAATGTGACCATTTCGACAATAGACAACGCGTGTTTGTCAGATAAATAATCAGATAATTACACTTTATCCATCTTAGTAGCTTATTAGATGGTGATAACCAATGAAAGTATCTTTGCGGAGGTTGAGAGCGATCTAGATACACCGTTTTTCAGTTTCTTCTTAGTTCAACGGTAATATTATTATTATTGTATCCTTTAGTTCCTAGAGGAACATAGGGCTTCAGCTGCGCACCTCCATTGCCTTCGGTTTTCTGACAACTTTTTCACCCTGCTCCAGGTCTGTCCACATGCTTTCATCTCCTCCTCGCATGACCTCCTCCAAGTCACCCTTGGACGACCAACTCGCCGCCTCCCTTTCGGGTTCCACTCGAGGGCTTGTCTAGTGATGTCACTTGATGGTTTCCTCAGCGTATGGCCAATCCATCTCCATTTCTTTCTGCCTATTTGTTTCACAATCGGTTCCTGATTGGTTCGCTCCCAGAGATCCCTGTTGCTGATCTTTTCTGGCCATCTGATCTTGAGTATTGAGCGGAGACAGCTGTTAATGAAGGTTTGAAGTTTGTTTGAGATGCTCTTTATGACTCGCCAAGTCTCTGATCCGTATAGTAGCACTGACTTCACATTGGAGTTGAAAATCCGGATCTTATTTTTGATGCTGAGTGCTGTTGACCTCCACACAGATTTGAGAGTAATGAAAGCTTGTCTTGCTTTTCCGATTCTGGCTTTGATGTCCTCGTCAGTTCCGCCTGTAGTTGAGACGATGCTTCCCAGGTAGGTGAAGGAGGTTGTTTCTTTCAGGTTCTTCCCATTTATGCTTATTGTTGTCTGTTGTTGCTGTTGTTGGTGTTGGCCAGGAATCTTCATCACCTCTGTTTTATCTATGTTCACGTGAAGTCCTATCTTTGATGCTTCTTCTGCCAACTTGTTACTTTTCACTTGCATATCTTCCAGTTTATGGGAAATCAGACATATATCATCGGCGAAATCCAGATCCTCCAAGTCTTTTGTGTCAGTCCATTTTATGCCTGTTCCCTCGTTGGTTGCCGTTGTCTGTCGCATTATCCAATCAATTGCAATCAGGAAGATCATTGGTGATAGTAGACAGCCTTGCCTCACTCCCGTCCTCACTTCGAAGGCTTCCGTAAGTTTCCCGTTGTGGATTACTTGGCATGCAGCATTGTCGTATAACTGTTGGATGAGGTGTATAATTGTCGATGGGACCCCGTAGTAGCGAAGTAGTTTCCAAATGACCTCTCGATCGACGCTGTCGAAGGCCTTTTCAAAGTCGATGAAGTTGAGATAGAGAGGTGACTGCCATTCCAAGCTTTGTTCAATGATGATCCGTAGAGTGGCGATTTGATCAATACATGATTTGTTTCTCCTGAATCCAGCCTGTTCCGGACGAAGTTTTTCATCTAGGGCTTGTTTGATTCTCTCCAGGATGATGCGACTTAGTATCTTGCTTGGAATGGACAGAAGCATAATTCCACGCCAGTTTTTACATTGACTTAAGTCTCCTTTCTTTGGAAGTTTGAATAAGTATCCTTTCTTCCAATCCTCGGGTACTTTGCCCTCTTTCCACACCTTCTCCAGCAGTGGTGTCATCAAGTCCGCTGTTGTCTCTGGGTCTATTTTCAAAGCTTCTGCTGGGATTCCATCTGGTCCCGGTGTTTTCCCAGCTTTTAGCATCTTGATTGCATTCAGGACTTCTGATTTCGTCGGGGGGTCAGTGTTCACTGGTAGTTCTGCTTCCGTTGTTGGTATTGTTGGGCGTG